TCCGGTGACAGGTGTAAGTTCCTCATGACTATGCCCAAGGCCCCTCGGCGTCTCTGTTCCTTTAGCTAGACTCTTCATAAACCTCTTAACCCACTTTTTATTAGCTTTGCTGTTATTTATCACATCCTCTGTTACATAATTCACCCGTTCACACTTTGCCGCTGCAGTTCTAGCCATTTGAGTTCAAGGGTACAGGGAACATGACAATGAGCGATGCAACATGTATCGCTGTCGCTCATGTCTCTCCCCACACCTTCAACCTGCCTCGACCAGGCTGAGGAATCATTCACAGCAACAATCGATCTGTGCAGAAATCTTGATTGTTTAAAACCAGAGCATCACGTGTGGTGTTGTGTTTTAAAGATCGGACACAGCTTTATTTTCTCTACGCGTGTGTGTGTGCATAGATGTATCCATGTGGGTGCACTGTATATCAATGGTCATGTTGGGATTTCAGATAGAAGTTCAGATGTCTCATGGGACCCAGAGATGAAAAGAGAAGGAGATGAAGAGAAGTCTTATGAAATGAAAGAAATCCTTTGATAATCCTTGTATTTTCTTGTGTTGTACTCTTCTATCACATTTAGCCTCCCTTCTGTATGTGTGTGTGTGTGTGTGTGTGTCTGCATCAAAGCCCTACCATCACACAGCAGTCTTTTCCTCTGTCATCCTCCACCATCTCCCCCGCCACCTGCCTTTATTCTCAGTATGTCAGACTGCCATACCTAGTGTTTCCTCAGCTTTAAAAAAGAAAGTCTAACTAATAGTGAGTGTAACTATTCTGAAAGTGAGACTCTAATATACGCTTCAAATGTCACAATCTAATATCACGAAACACAACAACAGAACTGCAATTACCCGTCTCATTCCACTGCTGCTGTAGTAGGTGCAGCCTGTTGTTGTCATTTCACAATAAACATGATAAAATATGTAAATCATGAACTTGTATTATGAGAAGTTTAGTTTAGTTCATTTCTGTGTTATCCAAAAACAAGCAACTCAACACACCAATACACATTACAATAGGTAAAAAGGAGCATGAAGAAGAAACAAGCAAATCAGTTATTCATAAATCTATGTTCATGCTCTTTCATTAGTTTTTTATTCTTTTTCTTAAATTGAACATTTTAAGTCCTTGTCCAGAGAATTGCATAATTTCACTCCATAAACAGAGAAACACATCTACTTTAAAGCAGTACGTGCATATGGACAATTGAAATTACTCTTCTTTCTATGATACATGCAAAATTTTTACTCGCTTTCCTCTCTGTACATTCCATATTCCAAGTTATTCATCTTTTATAACACCCAAAAAAAATGCAACAATCAAGTGGTCAGTCTGTGGAAAAAGTTAGTCCATGAGAGAGGACAGGAGAAAGTGCGGATGACAGAACCAGCCTCCACAGAGGCAGTCGGACTGCACCTGCAGAAACTGTAACGGATATCGTGGATGCCCCGTCACAGTACTGCAACTCCACCACAGGCTAATCCTTGGCGCATACCCCTTTGTCTTCCAGCCTCCTTCAGTCTTCCTGGTAAGGTCTTGTCATCATCCAGGACTTTTATTTTGAAAATCCAGCATCTTTTAGGCTTCCTGGAAACATTCTGTAACTATTTGGGCTTCGCCCCATGCAATGCAAGGCACCCATAACTAGCCCAAGATGTATAATTACCCTAAGACAGCAGATAACCCTGAGACTGCAGACTCCCCCTGGTCAAAAAGCTGTGTGGGTATTTAGTGTGAACCCCACAGTTTTTTTTGGGCACTGCCTCTTTGATCAGATTCTCTTTTATGGGATATATTCCTCTCTGTTTGCATCCCACTGTTTCACATCGTTGGCTTGTCGCCTGGCAGTGCATCTGCCAGGGCTGTAGCTCTCATTAGTACCTGTGTTGACATGACTGGCATCTCATCCGTGAATTTTTCCTCTTCCTCATACCCCCTTTTATATTTCTACATCTACCAGCTTTCTCTTGCCCGGTGTATCCACAGTTTCCTTCGAATGCTCTGATTATTTCCTCATTGTCATTCTCTCTCTGCCTCGCTCTCTTTCTCTCCCCTGCTCTGTTTCTCTCACTCTCTCTCTCTCTCTCTACCAGGGGGTTTTAATTAATGGCGAGCCGTGATGCTTATCTTATCAGCAGATCACTCTGCTATCTATTAACAACACTGGCAGAGCTGGGAGGCTGCAGGGGATTGATGGCACACAGGCACAAGCGTTCACTTGCTCTGAAATACACACATACACAAGAATTCAAATCATTTAGATACATACATACTATAAGGTAGATTTCTTCTCGTGTCCAAAAGTTCATGCACAATTTCAAACCAGAGTCTTGCAGAACTGAGAAAGGCCTGACCAGAATCTAATAATCGCACTGTACACACGACACATGACTCCTTTAAAATCAGAGTTGTTGCTTCGAGCATAATAAAGAGAAATTATACTTCTGCCCCGAACATTTGCTGGTTCGCGCTAAGGTTAGCAATACTCATTTGCTGTCACTCTCTGCTTTCTGAAAGTCTAATCTTGGCTCCTTTCACCTCCTGAGGAGCGACATTCACTGCTGGAGCACGCTCAGGTTATTTGGTATTACCATGTGGCCACAGATGCAGTTTCCTGTTTGCTCGCAGGAGCATCTTGTGGTTTTCACATTACTAGTGCAGCGCCCATTTCAAACATGTCTGTTTGACCTGTGGTTATTCTGGTTGCTCCAACTGAAACTGTAAAAAAAGTTGTTCACCTGTTCATTAAAAGTTTGGTGAAGCCAGACTCAGTAAGCAATGAGAATTTGTTTGTCGTTACCGTTGTCATGAATGTGCTTTTTGAAAATGTCACTTATGTGGATGAGTCCCTAACACTGCTGCTACAGAATGCTGGTCGTGTATTAATATAGAATGTATATAGTACGTATCACAGGGCTAATTCAACACTGCTTGTCCTCGGGCTCTTAACAATACACAAGCCAAGTGTAAAGCCTAATAAGTTGAACGGTTTATCGAGATATGCGAGTCACAGGCTGACATCGATTTTCCTGGGACACACTTTTTACATAAGATTGCAATCGGGTCTCAGGCCCCGGGGTTTGGATAGACACGCTGACAGACACACTGACACAAACTCACACACAAGCAAGCAGGCAAACGAGGCCACTGTGTCCACACGCATCACACATCATGATCCTATCTTAATCTTGCCACACACACACTTAAAAAACAAACAAATGCCCTGATGGTATCTTGCTGTGTGACTTGAGGAGCGTCGTTTGAGGGTCTCTCCTCTTAAATCCGCTGAATGCCTTGGGAATTCCTCCCTCTTCCTCCCTCCCTCTATCGCTCCTTTGCCCCCTACTTCAGTCTTGCTTTCTGGCTGAATGAACACTTATCATTCGGACGATAAATAGTGGTCCACGCCTGAGCTTGCTTTATCTTTAAGAGCCATGTTTACTCCCTGTGAATGCACTGCTATTCACAGATGTTTTGTAGAAGGCATTTGCTCGACCTGACAGAGATGAGAGCGCGGTGTCGGGGCGTCATTTTCTGCTGCGAAAACCTCACACAAACACACAGGTCAATTGTCCCATACTTACCATATTTTCATGTTTGGTGCAGTTGAACTGGGAAGCAAAATGAATCACAGTTTTTTACAATGGCTTGATGGGAATAAAAGCAATCTGCATTTAGGCACGCAGCAGTGAGCATGATGGCAGAGACAACAAAATCAATCTTCAAATACCACAATTGATGAAAGACGCAAATTCTTTTCAGATCACACAGAGTTGACAGTTTTCCAAAAGCACCGAGAGGAGGCAAGAGAAATACAGAAAACTGCTTATAATGTGGTTATTGGAGAAAATTGCAGTAGACTTTAGAGAAAGAGACACACACAGTCACCCACACTTTTTCACACTCATGATTTGGAGGATGGTGGAGAGCAATTATCAGTGGGGGATAATACAATAAAGGAGACCAGTTCCCAGGTATTACCAAGGGATCAAACATTTATTTCACTTTGTCCAGTGTGCTCATATGAGTGTAAACCCCCGTGAGTGGAAGGAATAGAACATAACTCACACCACTCAAACTGCTGACAGCGTGCAGTCATAATGCTGTGTTGTGCAATTCCTCAAACTTTTAACCCCATTTACTAAGCTTACTCTGAAGTATTTCTGGCTTGTGTTTATTCACGGTTGTGCTGAAATAACACTCATCCTACATTTCGCACTACATCAAGATAACTCAGAAATGCCCTTTACATGGTATTCTCTGGGATCCTCAAATTTTCCAGCCACTTTATTTTTGCATTGCACTTTGCATTTCAGATAAAATCAAATGCCACTCAAACTGTTGAGAGAAAAAAGAGTTTGATCTGTTTTTCTTTGGATCTCCTTGGAGCTTTTGCAAGTGACACTTTTGTCTTTGTCTGGGGTGGTGTCATCCTCAGAAAGACAGACTTACCATTTTTATAAATTCACTCTGGCTATAAAGAGCTCGAAGAATCACTGTGTTCTTCAAGGAAAAGCAAACTGGTCTTTAGTCATTTTCTAATTTGAGCCAAATGTTTCCCCATCACTTATAGAAATGAACACAGTTGCCATCTGCTTAACCTGCTGGCTTCTTCTTCACTTACTCAAATTTCTGTTGTGCCTGTGATAGCTGACAACGACGATGTTTTGTCAAACTGGGCTTTCAGTGAGTGATTTGCATGATTTCTTTTCCACTGTGTTGCTTAGCCTGTAAAGCTATCTCCTATTAAAAGACAACTCTTTGGTTGAAAACAGAACAAAGTGGCTTTTGACATTTAAATCTCTCTTTCATTCATGCTGTCACCCTGTCTTTCTTTGTCTGTGCTGTGTAGCCATGGAAGCGAATGCATATCTGTACTTCTGGGTATGTTGTGAAGAGAGACTGTGATTTTATCAGACTACTTTCAGGTCATCTCCCATGGTTTCAGTGTGAAGTGGTGGAGGAATAAGTGTCTCTGTCTGTCTCTCTGCAGAGAATTCGGGTGGAGAGATCCGGAGCTGCCAGAGGTGATCCAGATGTTACAGCACCAGTTCCCATCGGTGCAGTCCAATGCAGCAGCCTACCTACAGCACCTCTGCTTCGGAGACAACAAGATCAAAGCTGAGGTTTGTGTGTGTGTGTGTGTGTGCGCGGACATGGTTGTGGTTGCGCAGTGCACACGTGCAACCGAGTGACAGGTACACAAAGAGGGCAGGTGTTAAGTCAAGGTCTGTCTGCCTGCTGAGAACTGCACGCCCATTGCAGGTTGTGCAAACCACATGTGACATGACGAGATCTTTCTGCCAACAGAGGACTGTAAAAAAAAAACTAACTTTATGGATGTTTTGACAGTCAACTGACACTGTGGGATTTCTCTGGGCGCTGCCGATGTCCAGTTTGATTATGACAGACGGGGCAATGTTTGGGAGGGAGAGAGCGACAGCAGGGCAAAAAGTGCAGCACAATCAAACAGTGGAAAAAAGTTATATTTTTTAATGTTGTTATGAGAAGTTTAAAAAAGATTCTGGTTCATTATTAAACCGTGGCTGGCTGCCACACAAATGGGAAACACTGGCTGTAGCCTCAGCATGAGGAAGCTTGCAGTGATCTCCATCTATAAGCTTCGATATTAAGTTGAGTCTGGCAATAAAGTTCAATTAGTCCTAACGTCATGAGATTGTCTCTCAAAAGCTTTGACTAGAAGCCCCCTTGGAACTCTGTAATACAGCCTTTATCAATGCTAATGTCAGTGGCACATGTAGAGGCAGTCTATCCCAAACCCCCAGATATACACAGTCTTTTATTGCTGCTTACGCCCACATCACAGTTTATCACAAAGGGTAACCAGGCTTTCTCTTTTGGAACTCCCACACTGTGGAACTCTCTTCCTAGTCTTTGGCATCTTTCAAATTTGTTTCTGAGACTTTTCTCTTTGCATTTGTCAATGTTTGACTCAGTTTTTTATTTTTGTTGTTGATTTGATCATATTTATTTCATTGTTTTTCTTTCTCTGTGCTTGTGTTCTTTTTGTTTGGATTCACTGTCTGTTTTCTTATTATCTGTCTGTGAACCATTTATACGTATTACATTTTTCTTTTTTCTCAAATGTACACACCCCTCCCGATATATTATCCCTGAATTGAATTACTTGTACATGCAGGTACAAATATTTATAAATATAAAATTAATTTCAGTTGATTCGGTTGATGGCTGCTACTAGTGTCGCCATACTGCTAAAGTATTCATATTCACAAATACAAAGAAACACACACCAGCATAATGTGCACACAAATGCATATACAATCCTAAAAGCTCAATATGCAACAAAAATAATATCAATTGTCTTCTAATGCAACCAATTACACATGAAGACACTGCTAATTCTCTCTCACAATGACCCACTTAAGCACCCACACAAACACACATAAATACAAAAACACAATCCCTCTTGCGAACAAAAACATCAAACTTCATTCCCCTCCCACTCCCTCGTCCACGCAGCTCTGAAAGAACCCTCAGTGTTTATGTCTTTTGTAACGGGTGTAATTATTGCATGAATGGACGTGTCCAACAATAGAAAAAAATACTGTGTATTGACAGTAGATGCTTTTGGCTTGCCTTCATCAGTCTGTTTGATTGTCTCGCTGAGGGCCCCGTAAACACTATTTACATAAATTAGATCGGGAAGAGATTTCAACCAGCCAAAACTTGACGCTTCACATCACATCAAATAAAACCAGGCTTCCACATGCATAAATCTGCATGCACACACTGCCACATGTGCACGCAAAGGCTAAATCCAGTGTTATGATGCAATGAGACACAAACAAATGTGGCCTCAACCAGTTTTCTTAAATCATTTTTCATGAAAAATAAACAAGACAAACGATCACTGAGCCAGATACAGGATATTAGTTGAGAGTCTTTAGTTAGAATGAAGTAACATAATGGGAAATCATATTGGGACTAATTAAGTTTTTGTTTTGTTCAATCAGAATATCTATTTTCACTCCTGTCCCCCTTTGGAACAAAGCACTCACCTGCTAACTGTTATAATGTTAAGGTTTTAATTTTATTGATTTAATTTATAGTGGTGATTATCTTAATAGTTAATCGTTTGTCTTTAGAGACAGGTGAATGGAAAAGATTCACCTGAGAATGAAAACAATGCTTGTGCGCATTTCCCTTTCGTTTTTTTGTTTTTGTGTTAGATCATCCTGCAAGTTCATAGTTTCTCTATGTACTGTAGAGTCAACATTTGTCTTTATCGCTGTCAGTATTCATAAAATATCAATCAAAGCAAATTTAAATAATTCAGTCATTGACTTTTGTTTGTTTTCCTATTATGTGCTATTTCATTTATTTCAAGATATTGAATAGTCTAATGTTCAAATATGATATCTTAAGCAATCAGCTATGTTTTCCCATGATAACAAAGCTATCTGTACTCAAAACTTTTTTTGTTTTCTAAAGAAATGATAAATCAAAGCTTAAAGTTGCTCAGTGATTTCATTAAATGATAATTTCCAAGTAAAAGGCCTGTGTCAAAAATATATTTCCTAATTATCAGTGAAAAATGACTTAAACCAGCACTTAGTTTTTAAATTGGCATGAAATCAATCAAAGATGTAACATAGCCTGTATGTGAGATTTTAAAATGTTAAAATTTAAGAATGTTAAAGATTTTCCAATGTTAAAATCTTAACATTTGTTATGAATGTAGATGGCAAATCTTATCTAAGGTCTCTGCTTTTATTCAGTCAGACCGACAGACAAAGATGGCGGGGAGGAGACACACTGTGCAGCAAAGCACAGCCACAACATGGCTTCCAATTGTTGCTTAAGAGATATTCAGCAGGTGCGGACGGAGGGGGAGATAGAAACAGAGACAGATGAGACGAAGAGAACGAGGCATAGACCGGCTGAAATGAGAGACTATTGCCTTATGCCGGGGGGCGGAAACAATAATTTGAAAGCATTATTTGATTTCATCCCTCACACAAACATCATGCTGCTAATTTTGTGCAAACATTTGTGACTGACCAACCACTGTGAGAAATACATCAAATTATACATATTACAGGATAAGTGGAGGCTACAGGTGTAGGCTACTATCTAGTTAGAGCAGAAATCAAATGATGCCATGGTTATTTCAGTATTAATTGAAGGGAGTTTCTCAAAAAAAGAGTTAACAAAAGTGGTGTGACTGCTTACTGGTGACAACTCTTCATTTACCAACCAACTCATAAACAATGGATGACTCTTACCACTGATGGTCATTATCCAAAGCAAACTCAGAGTAGAAATATATTACTGACACCAGCAGTGCTTAGCATGAACAGTGTCGACACACACATGCCTGTGAGACGCAGCAGAAAAGTGAGGTATAGCTGTCCTGAGGTAAGAGTTGCTCCTGATGCAAGAGGTCCATCAACTCATTCCTTTAAAAAATGCATAAACTTTTATCAACAGACGACCCGTGCCCTTAAGGAGCTGCGGCAGGGACTCATGGAAATGTCATTTTCACAACAACGACTTTGACAACTGATTCTCCAACTTTGAACAGGCAAACAGCTCTTTGTGCAGCAGCGGCTTCATGGTTCTGCAGATTGAGTCCCGCAGCCAGTCTGTCTGTCGTACCAGCACAAAATCACACCCACATCAATGTCAGACTCAAGTTCAGTCACATCAGTAATGCATTTCGGGTAGCTGGCTTGTCGATATCCGTTTATCCAACAGACCAGTTAAAGGAAAATGTCCCGAGAGGAGAGGAAAGGAACACACTCTCTGACTCTGTGTCAGTCCTCTCCCCTTCTTCCTCACTTCATTTATTACTAAAAGCCTCTTTGACTTCTTTTTGGTACCAATTAACTTCACTCTTTTTGTATAGTTTTCTTTTTTTCGTCTCACCACAGATCTGCTTAATTATACAGCGCAGAGTAAATACAGAGATCTTGTGGGTACTGGAGGCTGGATCATATTCTGTTGTGGTCATAATTCAAGTATATTCTCACTGTGCTGCAGACAGCCAATGAGCTTAAGTCAATAGAATGAAAACTGTGGTTTTAAATCGTTAGACAGTGAACTGTGCAAACTGCAATCTGGGAAAATCTGTTCAACATACATCAGCATGAAAGATAAAAGAGACATAGACAATTATAGCAAATACTGCACTTGAACATTTTATGGTCTATGGTTTTTACACTGTACCATATGCACAATATTCCAATCCGATTAATGTGTAACATTTTCCATTAGTGTTTAGCCAATAGCATTTTTTTAAATCCTAGTGTCAGTTAGGTAAGTGCATATGCTCTGTAGTTCACCAGTGTTATTGACTACAATTGCCATTGGCTTGAGGCATTATGTTTTCAGGTTGCCCATCCTCCCCTCCCATTCTTGTGAACACATCTCAAGAATGCATCGAGGGAATTTATTCAAATTTCATTCAACATTCACTTGAAGTCAAAGATGACCTGATTAGAATTTTCGGATCAAAGGTTAAGGTCACTGTTATTTCACAAAACCCTTTTTTGTCACTTAAACTCATTATCCTAAGCATTCATCAAGAGAAGCCTTTCAAATGTGGCACAAATATTAACTGATTAGATTTGAGTCAAAGGTCACAGTGGCCTCACAAAACAAAGACGATATCTCATGTTGCCTTTGGGGAGATTTGAATCACTTGGAATAAAAAGAGTAACTGATTCGATTTCAGTGGTCACAGCAGGTCACGGTGACCTCATATGAATCTGAGATATACAACCACAATTCTAGTTTATTTTCTGACACAATTATTCATATTGAAAGAGGAAACGCTCTTTCATCAGTGATATCTTTTTTAAACACTTAAACAAAACACCTTGTGGTTTTTCTCCCGGTAAGCTACAGAACATGCCTGATTGGTTCTCGTTGTTTCCGTGGATTGAAATGAGTGATCAAAGTTTATGTGTACTTTGTAAATCAACCTTTATGGAACATTTCCCATCACCCCTCACAATCTGGTGTCAATCTGCTAAATTACTCAAAATGGGTCCATCAGTAGTCATTTGTTGGGATCGCACTCCTGGGGACAACACACTCAACAACACATATGGTAAATGGTTTGTATTTATATAGTGCTTTTCTAGTCTTGATGACCACTCAAAGCACTTGTATAGACTTGTAAACTCTCACATTAAGTATTTTCCTGATCCCCTGCTCTGAACAGTAGTGGCTTGTGTTTTTTTCTCTTGCGCTTACTCTTCAAACAACAGATTAAAGCCCCTGGTGTATTTGTCATGGTGGATTCTCACCAGCTGGGAATGTTACAGTTGATACCTCTGTGAAATTAGCTGTGGTGCTGCCTCAGAAAGCCATAGGTTAATCTCATGTGTGGCCAATTAAAGAATACACCAAAGGGAAATGTCAGCAGTGAGCGCATTTTGCCAAACGTAAAATTGTGTAAAGAGCTATGAGCGCTAATCTAATTGATAGGTTAAATGCACATGCTTTAAAATCTGAAATGTGTGACACAGCTTAGCTCCATCTCCTCGCTCACATTCAGGCAATTAACTGTGTTCAGTGTCTTGCTGATCACTGTCGACGTTCCATATGCAGTGACTCAAAAACACTTGTTAGGCTTAACATGGTACCATCCAAGGAACGTGTCACCCGGGCATCCCGCTGCCAGCCTTCACACCGACAGCACCTCTGATTCCCACAATCCCAGCTGTCACCACTGCTAACTGTTACCACGGCAATGCTGTCGCTATGGGTTACCAATAGCCGTGGCCATCGCGGAGCAGCGGAAGACAAAGACAAATCAATCTGCGCCTCTAATCTTCTTTACATGGAATAGAGGGATAGGCGCAGAGGTATTGGCAAGCCTTGTAGGTAGCTCAGAGGCAATACAAAGTAATAGCACCGTGGCTTGTATAGAATAACAGATTAACTGTGACATGAGCATAAAGAGGGATTGGCAAGGGTGAAGAGAAGAGGAAGGAGCAGAGGAGCACAGATTAGGTCTGGAGGGCATGAGAGGGACAGCCAATCCGGTTGAGCAAATTGTTGGCCAGTGGTTGGTTTGCCACTCATTGCATGCCCTAATCTGTTTTCATTGAATAAATAAGCAAAGTCATTTTGCTTGATAAGCTCACTGTGTCATCACACACCTTCATTCAGTCCCTTCCTGCCCTCCATCACTTTCTTAAAGTTTCCTTTCCTCGTTTGTCTCTTTACCGTCGTCCTCTCTCCACCTGCCTCACATCTGTATTTACTCGTAGGGTCCTCATAATGAAAAGGTGTGAGTGTGTGTTCTGTTTCAACAGGAGACAAAGCAATGAGTATAGGGAATTTTGATAACTCAAAACATTTCTATCAACATTCCTACACAGTCTGTGATCTGTTAACAAGTTTGTTATAAATGTCTCATAGTATAATAATGAACACCTTCATGAGGCTACTTCCTACTCTTGTATATATAAGCACATAATCATTTTAATGAGCAAGCTTTTAATTATTTATGAAGACCATTTTGCAGATTAACTGACACAAAGGGATATAATAATGAGTAATAATAAAGTATTAATATGAAGCCTTACCAGATTACTTCCCGGTACTCACGCCCTGTACACACGAATATGAATATTCTGCAAAACAAATGTTGTCCTCCACATGCAACCAGTGCTTTAGGTCACTGAAACCGAGATTTTTACAAACTCAGTCAGTTGCAGCTTAATCTCTGTGTTTGATTAGCACTGCTAATTTTTACAGGTCTTTACAGGTCTGCAGGTTTATTATATATTAATAGTATTATATTATTATATATTAATAAATATTATATTATTATATATTAATAAATATTATATTTTAAGTTTGTCCTTGATGTAGATTTTATCACCACCTACTTGCATGCTTGAGCTTTTGTATTTTAAAAATAAAGGTTGTGTGGACATAAATTTCTTTTAAAAACAAAAGGGAAAATATACACAGTAGTATGGAAATGGCCTTAATGTCCCATGTGTGGAGGAGAGGAGAACCCACAGATAAATAAAAGAGGCTTTGAAGAAACTTGATTATTCAGTTAACTGTGAAAACCTTTTTTCAACTTATCTGCCTGAGTGACTCTGCCTGTTGCAGCACTCCAGAGAATAAATAAAAATGGGAGCATGAAAGACAGGCTTTCTCTGTAACACGCACACACAATCACACTCATTGCTCTAGCCACATTCCCACTAGTGTGCTAGTGATCACAGCAGCTTGTTTCTGGTGATTAGTACTACACCCCTGTCGACTGGACTAAACACAGGCTGCTTTAAGCTCTTTGGCTCCCTGAGGCTGATGAAGATCCCTGCAGTGGAGAAGCAACCTGGGAGGGTTTAAAAAGCAATATGTGCGGCACCGTGAGGGGAACGCAATATGTCGCATGCTAAAGGGGAAAGGCAGAATCTGTAACACCAGAGTGCCCTCGTTGTAAACCCTCAACATTCCCGACTGCCATGTTTTCTCATAAAATCAGGATATAATCAAGATGTCTGAGTTAACCATTTATTTGCTTGTCTTTTTGTGTTCAAATATAACAACACATATATTACAGAGGTGGCATGGTTTAGACTTTTTGTTTTATAACCTTTAAACTAAAATAGTTTAGAGGTTAGAGCAAAACCTCCTATCACTTTATTCTTTCATTTAATTCTCCCATCCCTGCTCCGTGTTGACATGCACACAGGTTTAAAACAAGCCTAATGGAAAGATATTATGAAGGAAAGGGTAGAATGTAGCTGCAGACAAAAAAGACAAAAATAACCTTTTTGCCGGCTGAGATGGTGACACCTTTGACAGTCACATTGAATTTTCTGGGGAGTCATATCAGCCGGGGGCTTCTCTCTGCTGTATTTTAAAGGAGGAGAAAGGTAACAGAGAATGAAGTGTGGTCTTTTGTCGTTTAACCTGCAAAGTAAAATTTCAAGCCTGATAATCATGCAGCTCCATTTCCAACGATTTCATTTATATTTGACTTAACAGATCTGACGTGTAGTTGGTGATTCACAGATCCGGAAACTGACTTCTGAGATTTTATCCTGTACTAATGTAAACCACAGTCCACAGAGTGTCATTATACTTTATTATACTTTGGGTTAAAACTGTCTGGTAAAATGTTTTCAGCATTTCACCTGCTGGAAGATATATGGATCTGTTTTTAGCGTGAAGCTACAAAATACACTATATATATATATATATATATATATATATTGATATTTTTCTTTCAGTCAGTTTATATTAATCTATTCATGCCATACAAATGTATATTCCAACAACCTGCACTCGACTTTTGGTTGTTTTGTAGCAACACCTTGGAATGTGTACTGAAATAGCGCACACAGAGCGACGGCGGTACCAGACCTCTGTCACAATGCTTTTAATAATAATTACAATGAGGTACCAATGAACTTTTGTTGACATTTCAGTTGCTAAGCTCATGAAGCAGTTATTATTTGATTAGGAGGATATGTGAGTCGCTCTTTATACTTCGTCACATGACTTTTTCTTTTGCTCCCGTCATAACTACTATGGTCACAAGAGGTCAGCAAACAGTAAAACGCAAGTGTGAGTTTTAATAAGCTTCTTGCACACATGAGCTACGAATGTGACTCTTATATTTACAGTTAGTGCTGGTTTGAAATTAATGTCTTGACACACTGCTCTAAAACTGAAATTGAACATGTGACTAAAAGAGCATGGAAAAGTGCATTGATTTAAAATATGCTAAAATCAATGTGTGCATCAAATGTTTTGTTTTTGTAATTTTATACATTGAAATTCTATCATGCTGAAATCTAGATCATATAACATTTCCTAGGGAATGGACCCCAAATGCCTATATGTTTAAAAATGAATAATGGTAATAATTATTATCATTCTATGCAGAAATACAAAAAGGCCATAACAAAAGAAATAAATAAAGGGAGAAACATAAAATAGGAAATATTGAGAAGCAGGGTTAGAGACAGTGCAGTTGACAGACAGATAATGAACAGAGCTGGTGTCACTGCTCTTTTCCTTCCCTCATGAGTGTAATTAAGTGTCAGTTTGTGAAAGCACAGTCATTAGCTGAGCTGTAGTACATTTAATTAGTACACATCTGGCTGGTAATCTGACTGGTAGGACACACACACACACACACAGGACAAAGAAACTACCTGCATTGACAAAAAAAACCATTGACCAGCTGTGTTTTTCTGTCTGCAGACATTAGTGCACAGTCCAACTTTTAGAATCCATTGCATCACACGTTGTTTTTGTTGATTCGTCTCCTCCTCAGATCCGTAGACAGGGAGGCATTCAGCTGCTGGTCGACCTCCTAGACCACAGGATGAGCGAGGTGCACCGCAGCGCCTGCGGAGCCCTGAGGAACCTGGTGTACGGCAAAGCCAACGACGAGAACAAAGTAGCTCTGAAGAACTGCGGGGGCATTCCTGCACTGGTCCGCCTGCTGAGGAAGACTGGAGACGTGGAGATCAGAGAGCTGGTCACAGGTAAACAATTTAAGACACTTCCCCCAAATGCTGCATGACTACGTTCTAACAATAGACTCATTTATGTGTTACATTAATGGCTGACAGCGGGTGTGCCTTACACTTGGTGCAGGCGCAATCATCACAACAACAATCACAGTTTCACAGAACATAGCTGGGTTTCATGCTCACGTCTCATGCCAGCAATCAGTCCAGTGCTAAAAAGAAATAAAATCCACAACCAGATGAACACACACTAGTTTTCACCAGCTGCCTCTGGCTCCTCTTTTGCATTTATTTGGTTGGCTAGTGCCAGTGCTTGAGTGTTTGTTTAACCACAATTTGATTGGTTGGTGCCACCATTCATGCATGAAAAGTTGACAATGCAATGGAGCCTTAAGTACACACACACACACACACACACACACACATTACATGAGCTGATACATTTTGAATTTTCCTGAAACATATTTCTAATATGCTTCCATCTAATATTCGACTGGAGGCCCTTTGGTGTTGAAGGAATTACAAACACATGCACTGTGTCTTTTTCTAACTTACACAAACAAATAAATGCACACACACACACACACACACACACCTCAAGCTTATACTGTATGTAATATCAATGTGTAGCTAGTTATTTTCCAACATTGGTTCTACAGCCTCAGGACAAGTAATAGTGATAAACCATGTGTGTGCATGCGTGCATGCGTGAGAGAGAGAGACAGAGGATATGCTAATAGTCAGTGTCTTACACACACAGTAGACAACCTTAAGTATCATAGAGGTAAATAGGTTTTTATGAAGTGTGTGACCTGTGATAAGTGGGGATCTGGATGGTAGCAGTTAAGCAGATGTCCCAAAGAGCAGTTACATTAAGAACGTATGGAATTACTCCCATAACAAAACATGAGAGCCAATCATCTACTTCCCTGCTCCTTTTGGCTTCTCATTTCTCCCACTTTCCTTCTGTCTCACATCTATGTTCTCATGCCAGTTTCTCTCCTCCTCACAAAAATCCTTCTCATCCATTTACTGTACGTTTTATTTGGTTCAGTATCTTGCATTACGCTGTGCAGCTGTATCTGCACCTGGATCACCATTGTTTTCTCTCTCCTTGCTCAGATATATCAGCATTGTTTTGTTGCACCAAGTTACTCCTGAGAAGAGAACGATATGTGCAAGCTCATACAAGAGGATTTGACACCTACGACCATAAAATGCAAGCCCACTCATTCAGCCATACATGCAAAGACATAAATCGTTGTCAGACTTGAACTCTGGAAATTGTCGGCACATTGGTGTTTACGGAAGGGTGGCCATTTGGCAGCGTATAGAATCTTTTCTGAGATATTTGGGGGGGGGTGTTGTTTTTATCAGTTCATAATAGAAATTGTGATCGTGAAATATTTACTGTTTCACATGAGCTTTTTCTTTGGGCTGGAGGGAGAAACTCTGGACCCTATCTGCAGCAACAGACCTGTGCATTTGCGTTCTCATACTCAGCCTGTCCGGTAACATTTTTTTGCATGTCTGAAAGCAAATATAGATTCTGATTATAAACATGAATCCACACACGTATGCAAGTATTTGGATAAAGTTGGAAGAGCTGCCTCACGCACAGTGATCTCTGTCCATTGTTCCTCAGCAAACATGTTCATGTTCTCTAAGTGCATCCCTATAGGTCACCCATTCTTTGAGTTAACCTGGGGATCACAACAATGATAGCCAGGAAGTCAATAAAGAGTTTTGTCACTCCCTTTATAGACCCCCTGGATCACTAATAAAATCAAGAATGGAAGAAGTGTTATATTTTCTAGATTTTTTTCACTGTTATTGACGCAACCATAACTGCAAGAAATACAGCTTGAAAAAGGGATAGACAATTAGAGACATGTGGGTGGATGGGGAAGAAAGGACTGTTGAGCAGAAACGGGAAAGATGGATGCAAGCAAGCTGTTACTTTCCTGCGAAAAGCTTTTGATATCGCAGATAATGAAATACAATTGGAAGATAGGAAATGGGGAAAGGGGGTGAGAATGAACAGCAAACGAGAGAATGTGTCTAATTAGTGGGAACGGTGGGAGGGTGGATAATAAGGAAGGAAGGAGAAATCCAATGGATGTTATTTTATCGAATCATTCTTGCGCTACGCTCAGTGTACAGACTCCTGCAGACACAGAGGAAATCAACATTCACAGAAAGAGCATTTGTTGTTGAAGCTACACGTCAGCAATGACATTCACCACAGTCACTGCGCGCCTATAGGGACAGCCTGGCACCTTCAAGTATATTACTACAGTGCTGGAGAGAATAAAAGATTAAAACCCCGGAGATGGAGTGTGTGTGTTTGTTCAGTAAGCAGATTAACAAATGAATTAAATGCACCGCGAGTCATATTTTTTTGCTGCGTCATATTATGGGGTCTTACTTTTGTTAGGTTTAGTCATCTTTAGAAAAAAGCATTTTTTTGCTCTTCTCTGTCTGGCTCTCCCCTGCTGCTGGCAGAGTGAATCAGTGTTACGCATGACTGTGCCCTGTTGTCTGTTTACCCTGGTCCTTAGCATCCAGCTCTACATTTCAATTGCTTTCATGTCAGTACAACGGAATTCTGAAGTCTATCCTCATTTGCCTCGTGGCAAACGAATTACAACACTGCTGGTGTTGGAGTTCACTGCTTGGAACTGCTGCATAAATATGAGGTCGCTTAATTAGGCATGTGCTTCCGATGGCAAATGAAATATAGAAAAGAGACGAAGTACAGTGAGCGGACATGTGTCTAAATTTAGGGGCTTTCTACTTCACTTGCTACTGTTTAGCATCTGTGTGCATTGATGCATTGATTGTGAGGTCAGATTTATTACCTCCGCCAAGGAAGCTGGTTTTTCAGCCATGTCTGTTGGTTGGTTGGTTTGTTTGTTTGTGAGCAAGATTGCATAAAAACAAAAGGACAATTTAGTATGAAACTCAGAGGAAAGATGCTGGAAAGACCCTTTTAAACTTTGTTGCTGGAGGCATTTCCAGGATTTTTTTTTCACTTTTCTTGAACATTGTGGGCATTTTTCAAACATTTTCATAGGAATTATTCACGGATTGTGATGAAAGAATCAGGCACATGTTGGGAACTGATATCTATGAATTAATGTTGTCTTTGAGTAGGTATGTGCTCTACTGACAGTCATTCTAGTTTCTATTGTTTTGGCATCGGCACCAAGATTTTAGATGTAGGTCGAGCTGCAAAACAGACACAACACAGAATAACGACAAGTCACCATTGATTTTGATCATTAATCATTACATGATCACACCAAGCTTGCAACAAAATGGATGAAATGTTAAGAGAGAAAAATGCAGATTTGAACTACAGATGAAAAACCTTTGGCTTCAAAAGTCAAAGCAATAAAAATGATGAGGTAACTATCTCCCTCCTTCTGTAGCTATTAGAGTATATGTGTAGCTTTTGTGAATTCCTTCTTTACCATCAACTAGTGTCTTTAAATGTGTTCACCAGTACTTAAGGAATTGGTTTTATTTCTCTCCCAAAGAACATTCTTCTCAGAGCTTGACCTTCATTACTAATTGGTGGATAAATGATTTGAAAGCAAGCAAGTAGCAGTTCCTGACCACCAGAGATTATCAGGGGCAGTGCTGCATGCTCAAATGACTTGAAGAGAAACAATTCTCAACTGCTTGACATAACCAAAAGCTGCTGTGCTGGAGTCCTAATTAATCACCCTCCTCATTATCACCTCTTTGTTGTCAGCTTAAAGTAGTTTAGTATTTTTTGTGATTAAAAATCTGTTTAGGCCTGGTAATGATTTTGTCTTTTGGTGACCGGTAAAATCTTCTATGAACAATTTCTCTCTGTGTCAGTAAATTTAGACAAGTGTTATTAGCTTCCTGGGTCTCAGAGTGAGTTAGATAGGGAGAAGTCAAAGCCTGCGGGGCCTGTCAGTCAAAGTCCAGTCGATGCAGAGGCTTTGGGTGTCAATAGGAGATGCTATCCTTTCTCATGGGCTCACCTTGAGGCAGTGGACCATGGCGAACCCGACTGCAGCTGCTGATGCTGCCATCTCTCAACTGAGAACTGCTGAGGAAAGTCATGCGTTGAAAATATGGATGAAGTTGTTGTGCTCTGCTGGTCTTTAACTTTTTGAACGTCTGTGGCTAAAAAACTGTCTGATGTTTTTTGGTTGTTGGAAATGAATCGAGAGTCAAACAATACTGCTGCCATCTTTTACTGGAAAACTCCACCACTGTGACAGTACTGTCCAAAGCCACTTTGATGTAAATCAAAGTTCATAACATCCTCTCTCAAGTGACAGAGGACAGGGCTTCATTTGAGCCATTAAGTGAATCCAGCTGGCAAACAAAGCACTGCACCTTTGCCAGGATGATTTTTATTTCTGCTGCTTCCATGTTGTAAAATTGTTAGTGTCCTGCAGTAATTTCACCGCAGCATTTTCCCTGTGGGGAGCCCTGGTGGGTATGAAGCCCCCAGCACAGGCAGTGACACTCTACCCTCAGTACATGACTTTACCTGCTGCTGAGAAAATGTTTTCCACAAACCCGTTGCGGGAGTAAAAGTTGATTGACCCCGGGCTCAATTCAGAAATTGTTACCCAATGTCTCCTAGAATGTCGTCCGAAATCAGAGTTTCTTTTTGTGATTTCACAGATTTCCGTAGACACACACGCATGGCTGTGTAATCTGTCGTCTCTGGCCTTACTCATCACCAGGTTTTGACCCCGCGGCTTAACTAATTTAAATTGTGCCACCCAGATGAAAGCTGTTTAATAAAACATCGCCACTTGAGGCCTAACAGGCCTCACTCTCCCCTTACAAGTCATATAGTCTCATTTATTCATGAATTCATGCAATCATCTCCCCAATTCTCCAAACCGCACAGCTCCTAGGAAACTGTCTGTCAAGCATCTTAGGGGAACTAGTCCGAGGAGATGGAGAGAGAGACGAAGACGGAGAGGAAAATACACACACACAAAGGATTGAGTATGATGTCATTGTCTGATGGCCACCTGATTTTATACCCATAAGGACACTGGACTTACCGAAGCGTTACAGATCTATGTTTCTAGAGCAGGTGGGTGTGTGTGAACAAGTGGAAGCCACTATATCTTCACCACAGAAAAAAAAGGAAGAGTCTCTTGTTTGTTCTTCCTTCTGCTCAGTCTTTGTCTCTATCTCTGGCTGCAAAACATCCACATCATCCTCTCACATCTTCAGTTTGTTGTTTTATTTGTTTGGAGGCCCACAGACAGATTGTTGTCGCCTCATCAGAGACGGCACTGTTCTGACATCATGGCAATCACACGCTGACGCCACTCGAGAAGCAGACCAACACAGGAAGAGAGGGAGAAATGGAGAGAACGAAAGAGGTGTCTTAATGCACTGAGGTCCACGAGTGAAGCCGGGTTTTTTCCAGTGATTTCTTTGTCTGTGTTTTGTTTATCGATGTTTGAGCCTTTACCTTGAAACGAGCCCATGAGAGGAGAGAGACTGAAAGAGAGAAAAGAGAAAGTCAGGAGTTACACAACAAGATACTGATTAGTGAAAGTAAAGACAAATGTTTCCCACACACACACACACACACACACACAGCCTGAGTGTGAGCACTTGATTGCTGCCAAACAGCATCCAAGGTCATTGCCTTATTATCACCCTCCTCTTCTTGTGCACACACACACACACACACACACACACACACACACACACACACTCCTCTTTCACTCCTTCTTTGCTTCTTTTTCTCCTTCCAACATTTCTCTCACATTTTTTTCCCTGCATTTCACTTCTATATAGTATACTATATATCTGCCTCCTTGACTCCATTTAACATCATTTCACCCCGAATGCATATTTTACTTTTTTTTCCCCCACAATTAAATTTAGTTTGTTGTTTAAGCATAAGATTTTCCCTTAAAAAACAGTAGTATCCTGGAGGTATGGATATTTAGAAAATCGATTTAAAAAAAACAACTTTAATTAGGCGTTAACCTTTCAGCTAAATGTTTTTCTTTTTTCTATCAATGTCTTACATTTCCCGTCTTGTTTCATAACCTTTTCTTTTCCTCCTACTCTCACTCTTGCAGTTCTTTCATGTCATTCTCCTTCACTGCCTTGGCCTGGTTTCCCTCCCTCATTCTTTTGTCTGTCATTTTTGGATTGTCAGTATGACTGACATGATAAGGCATCAAGGCCGGCGTTGCTGTTGGTGACGCAAAACTGGCTACCATTCAACGCCCGGTGCCTCCACGGCAGTTTGCATACAGCGCATCAGTGGAAGTTAAGATTGTGAGGCTTAATCGTATCCATTATTAGTGACACAGCTTTCCACGGCCCCTTCCTCCCTCTCCATCTTTTTAACACAATACGTATTGTAGCGGTTCACTCAGCAGATTTACCTACGGAGCAGCCCCACAGAGTTTTCAGGAACTCAATGTCTTGCTCAGCTTGAATAGCGCTGTCATTTCAGATGACAGTATCTTTAATCACTGGTGTGCACCTCCCCGGCGCCCTTATTTTTCATTTTACAGTCACATCTAACAACTCCTGAGCAGAAATTGGAATGTGCATAATGCATTGTGTAATGAATGTGACATATTTCAGCAGGCTGTCAGCCCCTATGAACACAGGCCATTGCGTACGCAGCACAGTGTGTCCTCAGTCGTGCCTGTGTTTTATTTGTGTGGTAATATCTGTCATCGGGACCAAAGACATCTGGAGTCTGACACTACATATGTGAAAGATGGTGACCTTCCACACCACAGCTTTTTATAGTTTGTCATATTAAAACATGTTGCTCCTCTGTTGTCTCAATATGTTCCCGTCTTCCTAAGCTATCACTCTGCTGCCGCAGCTCTCTTCTCCTCTGATTAGTTTTCTATTTTTGTGTCTCGCATCTCTGTCCTCCTCCGTTTCACACATATGTGTCCTATATTGTCACTATGTCAGTTATTGTGCATCTTGCTCTGTCTGTAGGGATGACCCGAACAAGCAGCAAGGACTAGTTAACATATTTGTGTGTGTGTGTACATACAGTATGTAATAGCCTGTGTGTATAGTATGTGTGCTGTTGCAGGTCATTGAATTTCCGCGTATTAATACAAACTTTCTGCCAACTCAAGTATTTGTGCATGCAGTTGTGTACTTCTACTTTCTCTGTACATGGTTGGAGTGTATTTGTTTATAAACTGTGTGTGTTTTTGTGTGTGTATTTGAGACAGTTTGCTTTTCTCATGGACTAACAAACTGTTTCATTTCCTTTGACATCACAAATAAGTGAAAAATACACTTCAATAACCCGAGCAGGTTCCAGTTGAGCTGTTTTACCCAGGATTGTTTGAATAGATAATGTTCGGGTCTTTTCTGGATCCACTTGAGCATGATGCATTTCTTTTCCATGTATGACATTACACCAATACAGTTTGTAGATGTAGGGTCTAGTGTTCGGTACCAGAGAGGCACCATATTCATACAATGTCTGAAGCCATTCGTGATTTTAACAGTTATGTTTTACACCTCCCTCCAGAAGCTTTTTTAGTTTTCTGCCTTCCCAAAACATGTGGATAATTGACCCTGTGGGGAGTCCTTTTCAACCTGCACTGTCTGTCCTGAAGTAGTGATGTGCCAGTGCAGTAGTAAGTACTAGCAGAGCTGTGGCTGAACTGAACTGACGTGTGAGGTGAAGAAAACATACCCTTCAAATAATCCGAGATATTGTTCACATTCTGTCATAGGGCGGCCCTTTCAAGATAAGCGTTATAGATAATGGGTAGATGGACATTCTCTCATTCATGGATACCTCTGAAATAAAGCAGCATTGTCATTTAAACTGTAGTACCCATTATCATTAGTGTAGTTACCAGGATCTTTACTGCTTCATAATGACGTTAGCAGAAATACAATCAGATTTGTTATAATCACATAATTATGTGGTTTATTCTTCAGTATTCTTTAAAATAATGCAAATCAAAACCACTGTTCTGAATCGTGTTTGTTTGTTTTTGCAGGTGTTCTATGGAACCTCTCGTCATGTGATGCTCTGAAGATGCCAATCATTCAGGACGCCCTGGCTGTTCTGACCAACAGCGTCATCATACCGCACTCTAACTGGGACTCTTCCCCCAATCACCATGATGACCGCAAGCTCCACCTCCACACCTCGCAGGTGCTGCGCAACGCTACCGGCTGCCTCAGGTAAAAGCAGCACACATGCATGAGCCCAATGTGATGGGAAGTCAACGTGAACACGTACTGTGTTTTCTTCCTCCTCTATCTCTTTATGTATCTTTTTCTCACACATCAGAACTACAGTAAATATACTCAATCAAATGATCATGTCCTTGATCTAATGAAAAGAGCCAGATAGGCAGGTGCAGCAGAAAGGAAGCTACAGATTTCACTCAAACACCCGGTGACCACGGCAAGTTTCCCAAAACTAACCACAACCAACCTGTCATGTGTCTTGACCAACAGTTGAATTCTGAGTCTGGCTGAAAGATAAAATACTGACAGTGCACGCTTCATCTGTGAGTGAGGTGAGCACCACCTTTCTGCTGCTTTGGGTGGTCCCTGTAGAGACTGCAGAGCTTCGGTGTTTGGAAACAACAAGCGCAGTCAAACAGAGTCTGAGTGACGTTGTGGAGCAAAGATTCACATTCAGACGTGTAGAAGTGTAGGCAACAAACAGAGTGCTGCAGGAATAAGTCTTTCTGTTTAGTTTTTTGTACTTTTGCTCCTCTCAACCCTGATTAAATGGGTTTTAAGTTAGATGTCTGAAATAAGGTAAGACATTCCAATATCTTATACTGCAACATAAGAAACACCAGTAAATACCCAAAACTCTACATGCGTATTTTTATTCATGAACAGTTTAGTGACTGTTTCTATATTGTCATTGCTTTCTTAAATATGACTTGTGTATCATTTTCGGCCTTTTGTACGATACGTCAACATATATTATAAAATCAACTATTTCTTGGGGCTGGCAACATAGTGCCTTGTTTGTCAGCTGCAGCCATCATGGAGTCTTATTTGGAGTCTGTATAAAAAGTGACAAACTATTTGATTCATGTAGTTTAATATTGCTACACTAAGACAATGGACATCTGCTGCAGTGTCCATGGATGTGTTTTTACCAATTATCAATTTTCATATGTATGAACAGGTGGCAAAGTACTTGACTTGAATTGTTTGGTTCCTCTCAATGCAGTTCTCACTTGGAACAGCATGTATTGAAATACCAATGCATATAAGTCTGGTAGCCTAAAGAGTTCTTCAGTTCATATTCTAATTATTTCTACCCTGTAGTGCAGTAACATTCACTCTCAGTACTTTTCAACTGACTGACTTTCTTTGTACTATTATTTGAGTCAATCTTTTCTCTTCATTTTAGTTCAACTGCAATTTTTCAATAGTCTGTCCACCTCTGCATAATTCACCAAGGTCTAATTAAACTCTTATTAAACTGTGTGTGTGTGTGTGTGTATATTGTTCATATATTATCTTTTGCACTTGATATTTAATTATATCTGTTGAATCTTCACCTTTGTGTGACTACAGATGCACATATTCACCAACTATAACCAATATTCTCTGCACAGTTGTTTCTCTTCCTCCCCTCTCTCTCTCATTCAGTGCGCTCCTGCTCTCTCGCTCTCTCACTAACTTTTGCTGGTAACCATAGCAACAACTCCCCCACTTTCTTTCCCAGTACATTGTGTGTCAAGACTTTCTTTTTGGTTCATTGTGCCGATAAAATATGTTCCTCAGTTGTTACAGCTTGGAATAATGAAGGAGGAACTCACAGCTTTGTAATGCATAGTGTTTATTCGATACACTGCAAAAGTAAATTAGGTGAATCGCATCAAAATGTTGCTTTGCCTAAACAGAACAAACTTTATTCAGTGTCTTTGTTTAGGCGATCCGGCACTGACAATACAAATACTTCTAATGCCATGCCAATACATAAAATAAAGGCATTAATACAAACTGTAATAGCTCCCAGTAATTTTAATCAGGGAACCGTAATGTTGTAACTGATACATCCCACCCCCTCCCGTCTGCTCGCTCATCAAAGCTCGATATGACTTTTTTCATCAGTGGCTAAAGGGACTTCAAGAGGATCTTCAAATTTATGACATCCCTACCTTTAAGTAATTACAATTCTGATTACATTTGCTGGCATCTAGTGAGTGGATTCTTGGTCAGATTATTGCCTTGAGTTGGATTTTTGATCCATGACCTGTGAATGTTTTTTGGGGGGAAGTGTGCGCATCCTGTTTACAATACATTCCAAAAAGTAATTTCAAAATAAAGATTATAGTTCTTGTGTGCATACGAAGCAATGAATATGTGTGCATGTGTCCGTGAATTCAGGAAGGTGCACGTCGGTAAATATGATATTCAGAGTATCAGACAATCAAACCAGTTGCTTTGCGACACGCTGCATTTTCATCCTTGCAGTTGTCATTAGAGGATGTGGCACATGTTCAGCAGCAATACTCAAGTTGTGGCATTCAAACAATGATTGATTGTTATGAAGGGACAAGAAAACATCCCCCACATCATCACACCTCCACCAGCAGCCCGGACTGTTGACACAAGGCAGGTTGGCTGCATGGATTCCTGCTGTTGATGCCAGATTCCTTAACCCTGCCAACTGCAGATTCATCACATGAGGATTTGGTTGTCCGGCCTTCAACTGTCTGGTTATGGTGAAGCCTCCGATTGATGTTCTCGGCTGACAGGAGTGGAACTTGATGTTCTACCGTTGTAGCACATCCTCCGTGGTTTGACGTGTTGCACGTTCTGAGAGGCTTCTCTGCTCAGCACAGTTGTAAAGACTGGTTGTCTGACTTACTACAGTCTTTCTGTCAGCTCAAACCATGTCAGGCCACGAGGCATATCCACCCTCAGAGAAAGAGTTACTTGGATTTTTTTTTTTACTATTCTGAGTAAACTCTAGAGACTGAACTCCTCAAACCAGCCTGTCTGACACCAAAACTTACACCACTGACATCCCCTTCCGACCCCTTACTCATGTTTGATGTGAACATTAACTGAAGCTCCTGATTGTTTGTACTACACGCATCGCTCAGTGAGTACACAAACACAAACTTGTCATAGTACGCTCACAAGAAAACCTACTTGCATTCTGCAAGCTGATATATCTTAGAAACACCTGTCAGTTTAGCAATATTAGTAAACAGCACTTCAAACTACAGCCTATTGTACAGTAGAATTAATTAACCTTTCCTTCGGTGTAGTTTATTGCCACTCTCACACTGCTTTTACATCCATTTATATAAATCACTGTAACAGTCACTGCTCAGATATTTCCATGTGTCCTTTATGGTTATGGTACATCCAGACATCAAACAAGTCGACGGTGATGGAGGTTGTGATTATGTACCTCTTCATAAAATAAGGGGCAAAAGCAGCAGTTTGTCCCTGTGGTCGGGCAAAGAACCATCATATAGACGCCTGTAGCTTCTTTCCAACTCGCTCAGTTGAAGTGCTTTGCTCAATTAGGCCTTAAAAGTAAAGTATCTTTATTTAACACGTTTACATAGGGTTGATAAATAGTCACAATAATTGTCAGCAAATGTAACACAACATATTCTTTCAGTTATCCTGCCGGTGCAGTGAACCTGACAGTTTTAATGGAATGCATGTTTGATAATGAGAAAGCTGGCCATGAAGCATATGTTATTTGTTTCTTGTCTTGTTTTATGTATCCAAAAACCTGAGCCTACCAGAGCATGAGCTCAAATGTAGAATTTAATTTCAAAAGTAAAACTGAGATGGCAGAAATATGATTAATGTAAAAATTGTACATTCATAGATCATTGAGCTATGCTGTTATGTCACTTGTGAAAAAGTACGTGTCCCGCCAAAAAAAAAAGGATTTGCAAAAGAATTCCCATGTGATTTGAACCCAATATAATTTAGCTGGATTCATTTCGTTTTGGATACTTTGCCTGTGATAATTTGCCATGTTTTTCATTTACATATTGAAATTCCCTTCACACGCCCACCACTGTACATTTTTTAATTCAGGCAGTGTGTAGTTAACTTATCTTAGTTCACTCTGAAGAGTAACTCTGATCTTTACTCCCCAAAACAGCTTTTGTTCATAAACCACCGAGGCCCGAGACAGGGGAGAAAAAACTCAGCGTCCACTCCACCATCTGTCTTTGAGCTTTGTCCTCGATCATCCACCAGCAGCATGTGCATGAAACCTCATCACTCGCTCTGCACGGCTCCTCTCAGAATGTTTCTAATGGTTACATCCAGCTATTCAATGTCTCTCAAAGGCATTCCAGAGACATCACAAGCAGGCTTTTGCACATATTCATATAATTTTGTGTGCAAGGTGTTGAATTGTGTGTAAGTGCATGTTCGTATGCAATTAACATACCAAAGCAAGGGCTCCAGTCCCTCTAGTCTTTGCAGCATTGTGATCAATGAATCATATGAATACCAGCTTGGGTAATTGTGGTTTTTAAAAATCTCTTCAAAACACGTAAACATTGAATTTCTGGATATTTACATAATTCTTGTTATGAATGTTTTTCTGTCAAACGTCAGCAGGAAGACGCCAATCCAAAACTGCCACTGCTGTTTTTTAAACGCATTCCTCTTGCTATTTAATTTCACAATAAAAAAAAGCCCACCATAGCTCTTATGCACTGTTGTACTCCACCTCAGAGGCTTGGCCGTATAGTGAAGTACCACCTTTGAGTTCTATTTTAAAATGTAAGTACAGCTGGCAGGAGCAGGCTTGTAGCTCGGGTGCATTTAGAGACAGGGCAGCATAAATAAGCATTCAGAAGGTAAAATTCAGCGTGGTGTTTTTTTGTTGTAAACCTCTGTGGCTTTGGTTGTCTGCGTTCTTAATGGAACAGTGCAGGAACTGCCATGGGGGGGTCGGAGGTAGTGTACATGATGATTATACACAATAACTCAATTTCACAAACACCTGTACCAGTGCAGCTCACTAATACCTTTACATTTGCAATAAATATCACACTGGGGGATTTTGCAGGGTTTATTTTGTTTCTAGGTTTAATCAGAGCTGTGCAAATTTTACTCCAGTATTTTTTGTGACTGATTTCCATTATCGAACTTGCATTTGGATTACATTTTATTATTAGCTTGAACAAATGCATCCACCTAAGTGTGGACCAGCATTT